TGTAGAGTTTAGCTATGTCTTTAGTTGCTGGTGATGTTAATTATTGAGTAAAGAAGTGTCCCTGTGGACCATGTTTTTAAAACATGTCAAGGCTCTAGGGCAAAGGAGAGGTGGTGCCCTTTATGGAATGTTTATAAATCAGTCCAAGTTCAGTTTATTATTTTATTTTGAAGTTGGACCAAGCTCTTAGCACTATCAGAGTTAAGGAACCTGGAGTCAAAAAGTTTTATAGACCACAAGATGCTAAAGGGGTAGGACAGAACTAATAGGAGATTCTTTACTTTTTCTTTGCTGTGTCTCTGTGAAGAAAGTAATTTATAATAGTAACCCCCTACCCCTGAGAGGGAATCTCTGGATGAAGAGTTCTAAGTGTTTTGGAAAAAGGGGTAAATAATACCTACCTTGTAGCTGGGTGTGCTAAGGCAGGGAGAGATTATGTGACTGTCCTCAAGTCACACAGTGAACCAGTGACGGAGCAGGGAATAGAACCCACCTATCAACTCTCCCCAGTTTGGCATCATATCTTCTAACTACACTGCTTCACAGTAAGAAAAGGAGTACTTGTGGCACCTTAGAGACTAACCAGTTTATTCTCACGAAAGCTCATGCTCAAATAAATTGGTTAGTCTCTAAGGTGCCACAAGTACTCCTTTTCTTTTTGCGAATACAGACTAACACGGCTGTTCCTCTGAAACCTGCTTCACAGTAGACATTGCTTCTGCACTGGAAGTGATATATTGCTTCTGGGAGAGTAACTGCATCTGTTTACACAAACAGGACACAATTTCTAGGTCCCTGAAACCACACAACCAGAGTAAAGAAATACATACAGTAGTGAACTTTTGTGTTAATGTGTAATGCCTTAGAAGTTATACACGGTGTGAGACTGTAATTAGCAGCACATTCTATACTATCAAATGGTCTCTTTGTTCACTTGGTTGGCAGCTTAAAACCAGCTGTCAGGGTTTGCAGCTTGCTGGGTTGCGCTTACAGCTTCTTTCTGATCTCCAGTACATGGTAATACAGCTTGTAAAATCAGCTCCATGTGTGCTTGTGCTAACATGATAATAGACATTGCTAAATACATACCAATATAGTCCACACCAAGAGGACCATGTGGTCTGAAATGTGGCCATGCAGCAGCACTGCTGCAGTAGTTTGGGGGAAAAAATCATATTATGGCACATAGCAGATTGGAAAACGTGGTTTTGGCATTGTCTCACATTCTTATTCTTTTTAACCGGGTTTTGTGCGACTTTTATTATGAAGAAAGGTTTCAGAGTAACAGCCGTGTTAGTCTGTATTTGCAAAAAGAAAAGGAGTACTTGTGGCACCTTAGAGACTAACCCATTTATTTGAGCATAGGCTTTCGTGAGCTACAGCAAGAAAGTGGCTTTTTTCAGTTTCGTCCGAGGAAGCTTTTACTAGTGCCAGAGTTGACCAGGGCAGTTCCTAAAAGCGTATATATTGCAAGGTGGCCACATGCAGAGCTGATGTATGTAAGTTCATTCAGTTTATTTTACACTTCAGCTGAGAGATAGTAAAGTACATGACAGAATTACTGCATAGAAACTTTCAATTCCATCTCCAGTTTGTCATTAGAGGTAGTTTAGGGGTGTAGCCATGGAAGTTCAGCCTAGGTTATGTTGTCCTTTCATTCATGTGCACCCTAATTCACCAAGATACTTAAGCATATGCCTAACTTTAAGCATGTAAGTAGTCCCATTACAGTCACATGTTTAAAGTTAGGCTTAATAGCAAGCCTAGCACAATAAATATCAGTCCCTTAGCAACAATCACCCTACCTTGAAGAACTTGGTATTAAAAGACCTAAGCCACACAGTTTGAATCCATGGCCCTACCCACTAAACTTCATCTAAATTTGATGGTGATTCTTTCCAGGGTTTTGGTTCAGCCTATCCTAAGGTGGGGTCAGCTCTCCTGTTCCAGTCTGGTTCCAAGCTCCCCCAGTGTTATGGGGTGCTTGGCTTTAGGGTGTTGGGTCAGGCCCATCTCTGCAACATCTGTCAGTATTTTCCCCCCAACTCATTTGATCATCAAGGAACTGCCAAGATGTCATTAATTAAAAAATAAATGTCTTATGATCTTTTAAAAGCTGGGCATGTAGATCTGTTTCCTTACAAAATTGTGTTTTCTCCTTCTATGCAGTCTGGTAAGGGGTTGTTTTTGTAGGGTTTGTCAGAAGTGCTGATTGTTTAGGGCGGGGAAGGAAGTATTTCTTCACACAACGCACAGTCAACCTGTGGAACTCCTCACCAGAGGATGTTGTGAAATCCAAGACTATAATAGGGTTCAAAAAAGAACTGGTTAAATTCATGGAGGATACGTTCATCAATGGCTATTAGCCAGGTTGGCAGGAATGGTATCCTTAGCCTCTGTTTGTCAGAAGGTGGGAATGAGCGGCAGGGGAGGGATCACTTGATGATTACCTGTTCTGTTCATTCCCTCTGGGGCACTGACCACTGTTGGAAGACAGGATACTGGGCTAGATGGACATTTGGTCTGACCCAGTAGGGTCATTCTTATGTTGGGTGTTAATAGACACTGTACTTGCAATGACCCCAGTTGGAAGGTCAGCATTTACTCCCAGTTACTGCAGGGGCATCTGAGATACCACAGTATTTCACTCTAGTGCTACCCAAGGAAGGGTTCCATTGTTAATGGCACCCAGATGATAAATGTAAACAGATATGACAAAGGAGTCCATTTACGGTTTCCTTCGAACAAAAAACAAACACACAGCACCCACCCAACCTGCAAGCACGAGTACAGTAATGGATATTGGACTAGATGACCTCCTGAGGTCCCTTCCAACCGTGATATTCTATGATATGAGCTCTTCAGGTTATCTGAGGAGCTGTTTGTATGCAGCACTCGTGCTTCTATGCAGAATACTACAGTAGTTGTATGTTTCATGAGCATAGGTTCTGAGTGTCTAACCTCAACTTGAAAGCTCTGCGTGCATTATTTTGGTCAGGTAAATGCAGATGTAACACTTCCAATAGCATATGCTCTGGCTGTACTCAAGACTTTAGTGTTGAGCCGTACGGTGACTGCTTTCATTTCTCAGATAGCACACCTTATGTACGCAGATGATGCTACCTTGGTTGTTGTGGCCCTGTATAGAACTTGTTCCCTCCTGATATTCATTTTGTACAGTGACTATCTTCTCCTAATACAGCACCTAGCACAGGAATGCCCCCTTTCTGATTCAGACCTTTGGATGCCGAGGCAATGCAAATAATAATCCCCTTCTAGTTATCTGCTTTGTTATTTAGAGTCTATTTTATTGAGGATTTTTTTTGTTTTCATAATTCATCATAAAACTTACCGAACACTACCACAGGAAAGTATCCATGAACTTGAGCAAGTGAGGTGCATTTGTTTAAATACAGCTTCCAGCTTGTTTGCTTTTTTACTTTCCTTACTGAAGGAAATGGCAGATTTTTCCTTTTTCACTTTTCCCTGAAAAGGGCGCTTACAGGAGCCCTGAGGGATAGACTAGCAGTGTAGAGCTAAAAGAAAAGGAGGACTTGTGGCACCTTAGCGACTAACCAATTTATTGGAGCATAAGCTTTCGTGAGCTACAGCTCACTTCATCGGATGCAGAGCTAGAGGACTTACTGGGTTTTTCGTGACACAGTGGTAAAAGTTCCTGAGGCCTGTCTACTGCTGTGCTTACCCACTGGTGCACCCGCCCTGGTGGGGGCCTTGGCTGTAAATTGGGTACTTGTTATTTCTATTATCGATATGCTTGGCAGAATTCAATTATTTTTTATAATTTCAGATAATGTATTAAGATTTTTTTTAGATTTTTACAGTTGCAGGAAATTATGGGGGGTTAATAGTTACTATTTAATGAGATTTAAAAACACTGCAATTCAACAAGTTAAAGCTAGATCTCCTTTACAATACAATCGCAGGTCAAAATATAAATACCCTTAAATCAAACTCCCAAGTTCCAAAGCAGCATTTTTCATACGTTGCTGATCTCTAAATTTCAGTTATCAGCAACTGAATTTTTTTCTTCCATTTGTGTGTATGTGGTGAAACCAACGTTTACCAACAAAAATCTAATCCTTCCAACCCTAATTACAGGCCAGGCGTTCGTGTTTTCAGTCTTATTCACCATCTCATTTACTCCCTGTTTACACCCTTCCCCTGGGAATCCCGGTCCCTGTAGTCAAAGTTCCTTGACCAGTTTCAAAACATCTCTTCACCCCCTCTGAGTTAAGACCAGGCTTATTGGAGAAGCTAAATGAATGTTGCTTCCTGTGAGGAGTGTTGGGACGTTGTGTAAAGCAATATGCCCACGTGGGGTTTGATATGGTATCACACAACTGGTGAACTTGGATTTTATTAGCTGTCTGTATGAGTGTTGATGTAGGAAGTTTGCAGCGATGCTGATTCTGTTGCATTCCAAAGGCAGAAGCCCTGGGAACTGTACTATCCCCTTGACTCGGGGGCGGGGGGAGGGATAGCTCAGTGCTTTGAGCATTGGCCTGCTTAAAGCCAAGGTTGTGAGTTTAATCCTTAAGGGGGCCATTTCGGGATCTGGGGCAAAAATTGGGGATTGGTTCTGCTTTGAGCAGGGGGTTGGACTAGATGACCTCCTGAGGTCCCTTCCAACCCTGATATTCTATGACTCCTTTTCCTGTCGGACAGGAATGTGATGTATGCAATTCTGAAATACATATACTAGAACATGGGTTCTGTTTTTTAATTGATGTCACTTAATGGAAAAACTAATTTATTAGCCCTTACGCTTTTAATTTAAAAGTGAAAACATTTTTAAAATGCTCCTATTTTAAGGGATGGAGATGAACTGTATTAAATATCCTTTAAAGAACAGTTGACTCCAACATGATGGCCAAGCTGAGCTCTATTGCCATATATACACTGTACTCTTGGGGGTTCACATCAAAGCCCTTGTGGTAAATTCCAGAGCCCTGCTGTATCCTTTCATCTGTTTTATCCAGGTTACACCAGCTTGACAAGCATTGCCAAACCACTGCCCAGCAGCTAGTGGAGTTACTCAACAAACAGAATCAGCTCTTCAGAGAGAGGCAGATGCTAACAGAGGAGGTGCAGTTCCTGCGAACACAGGTACCATGCCAATACTGGGAACAAGAGAAAAGAAAATCCTAGGGAAATATTCTGCAGCCATCAAGAATGATAAAGACTTTGCTAAACAATCTTGTTTTAAGGTGGTTTTCTTTCTTGATGCATAATCTTCAGAGTCCAGAACTAACTCGTTGATCCAGAGGGATGGCAGGGCAGTTGTACCCACACCCTGATTAAACCTACACTAAATTAAGAAAATACTGTGAGGTGCATCTAAGCAGACCAATACCATTTGTGCCAGTAACTCCTATCAGAAATCTTTGTTTCATCCTTCATGTCAGATGATATAGTAGGCAACAGAAAATTCTTTAACACCATTAGCATGTAGTATTGAAATGTAATCATTTTGAAAACTGTAGTTTTAGGGTGCTACACCTGCCACTGAGTCCCTCACCCTCTGGTTGTGGTTTTGCAATCTCATTTCCCTGTTTTAAAAAAGTTTTTGCCTCCCTTGTCGCAATGCGAAAACCCCACCCAAACCGACTGTACAGAGGAACCAGGGAACTCTCAGTGGGGATCTGTATGGGCACAGCAGTCCACCCTACCACAAGAAGTGGCAGAGTTAAGGCCTTGCTTCTGTAGGGGGGCAGTCTGCAAGCTACTGTTAAAAGTAACATTTTTCAGACACTGATTTTTAAGTTGGATGCTGCCCCTTTAATCATTCACTACTTTGGAAAGGAGGAAGAGAATCATGACTTTTTAAACTGTAACTGAACTGCTGAATTAAACAGTCTCCAAATCTAGCACATAATTAAGCCTTTGTTTCTGTGACTAAGTAAATTAACTGATTCGACCGTATCACTGTGATACCAAGCCATCTGGCTCATGAACAAAGCAAGTTTCTGGGTTCATACATGAAATTTGGACTCTCATTAATGTGAACAGGACCAATATAGTACCAAACTGCAGTGTGAAAGGAGAATCAATGTTTAATGCTAAACTACTTTTTGGTGAACAGCAGCATGATTAAGAGTATGCATGGCAAATATCAGGATGCTTTAACCTAGAACTAAATAAAAAACACATCATAGTGACTACAGGGAAAAGTGGTCTTTTTAATGCTGCCTAGAGTACCCGAGTTACCAATTTTCCCTATGTCTAGAATAAAAACTGTGTTACCTCCCATTTACGGTATCTGTGGGCAAATGTCATGGCAATCACTGTGTTCCATGTTTAAGCTCTTTAGAAGCTGAAGAATGTTGCATTAAGGACTCTGAGATGTGGCAGATTTTCAGTTAAATCAGATAGTCATGGTTGTGTACTGCTGCCCACCTTCTAGATGTGCTGCTAACTAAATTGAATATTGTTACCACTGAAAGTCAGCTTTACAGTTGTAAAGGATGCATTTGTTAAAACAGGGAACGTGGGCTGCAGTCAAGGCTTTTTACCACCAACACCTAGCAGTCTGGCCTGATTTTTTAAATTGTGCACCGTGCTCTTTGAGCTAAATTTATTGTTGCGTGTTTTATTTGCAAATTTGAATATGTGCAACTGAAATGTCACTTATCCAAATAGAGCCATGAAGCTCAGACATGGATGCTGATGGGGACAAGGTAGGAACCTGGATGGATAGGAGAAATGAGGACTAGTCACTAAAACTTTAATGCAGATTTTTACATAGATAAGGTTTTAGGTAGAGAATAAGACATTTGTCTTCTGGTCTGACATGAGGATTGAAGGCTGCTCCCTATGATGATTATTCAAATCTATATGTGATCCTATAACAGAAACTGCTTTTTTCTTCAAAATTGTAGCAATTGCTGCATTTAATATTGAAATGAATAGGAGAAGATATCTGAAAACAAAGAACAGGTTTACATTAGGGCTGTCAATCACAGTTAACATCACATGAGTAACTCAAATTAATCAGGATTAAAAAAATTAATTGCACTGTTAAACAGAACATCAATTGAAACTTAATATTTTTTGATTTTCAAATATCAATTTCAGATACAACACAGAATACAAATTGCACAGTGCTCATCTTATATTTGTACCATAAAAATGATAATAGTATTTTTCAGTTCACCTCATACAAGTACTAAAGTGCAATTTCAAATGTAGGTTTTTTTGGTTACATGACTGCATGCAAAAACAAAACAATGTAAAACTTTCGAGCCGACAAGTCCACTCAGTCCTACTTCTTGTTCAGCTAATCACTAAGAAAAACAAGTTTGTTTACATTTACAGGAGATAATGCTGCCCTCCTTTAATTTACAATTACCAGAAAGTGAGACCGGACATTTGCATGGCACTTTTGTAGCTGGCATTGCAAGGTACTTACGTGCCAGATATGCTAATCATTCATATCCCTCTTCATGCTCCAGCCACTATTCCAGAGGACATGTTTCCATGCTTATGATGCTTGTTAAAAAAAAAAAAGTGTTAATTAAATTTGTGACTAAACTCCTTGGGGGAGAATGGTATGTCTCCTGCTCTTTTTTACCTGCATTCTGCCATATATATTTCATGTTGTAGCAGTCTGATGATGATCCAGCACGTGGTGTTCGTTTTAAGAACACTTTCACTGCAAATGTGACAAAATGCAAAGAAGAGACCAATGTGAGATTTCTAAAAAGATAATTACAGCACTTGATTTAAGAATCTGAAGTGCCTTCCAAAATCTGAGAGGGATGAGGTGTGGAGCATGCTTTCAGACATTTTAAAAGAGCAACACTGATGTGGAAACTACAGAACCTGAAACACCAAAAAAGAAAATCAACCTTCTCCTGGTGGCATCTGCCTCAGATGATTAAAGTGTACATGAGTTGGTCTGCACTGCTTTGGATCGTTATCATGCAGAATCCATCATCAGCATGGACACGTCTTCTGGAATGGTGGGTGAAGCATCAAGGGACATATGAATCTTTACTGCATCTGACATGTAAATATCTTGCAATGCCAGCTACAACAGTGCCATGAGAACACCTGTTCTCACTTTCAGGTGACATTGTAAACAAGAAGCAGGTAGCATTATCTTCTGCGAACTTAAACAAACCTGTTTGTAACATTTTAGAGCCTACAAGGCCAATCACTCAGACATTGTTTTGTTTTTGAATGCAGGGTTTTTTGGTACATAATTCTACATTTGTAAATTCAACTTTCACAATAGAGAGATTGCACTACAGTACTTGTATGAAGTGAATTGAAAAATACTATTTCGTTTTTACAGTGCAAATATTTGTAATAAAAAATATAAAGTGAGCACTGTAGGTATTCGGTGTAATTGAAATCAATATATTTTTTGGATGTTTTCTACATTTTCAAATATTTAAATAAATGGTATTCTATTAACAGCACAATTAATCATTAATTTTTTTAATCACTTGACAGCCTTAGTTTACATGTAATTTGACATGGAAATCATCTCACCCTTTGCATTATTGGTACCAGTGTGACCACGCTGTCCAAGCTACAGGTATTCATATTCCCACGTCCACACTACTTTTTGTGCTGAAAATTCAATCCAACATTTTAATGCAGTTACACGAGTGGGGAAAACAAAAACTGAATAGTACATTTAGCATCTGTATTTGGTATTTGCCTTAAGAGACAAGTTAATTCTATTACACTCTAACCCCATGTTAGTATTCCCCCTATTCTTAGCATTCAAGGGCCACAAAAGTGTCTAGACTGTTCTGAAAATCTTTTCAGCTGAAATGTTCTTACATTTGCTGGACAAGTTCTTGTGATTTTACCAATTTAACAAAAAGGCCAGTCCTTCCAGTTTTTCAGCTACCACAAGGAACAAGACTTGAGGGCTCTTAGCACTTTCTACAACATGTTAAACACATGATTGGTACTATCACAAGTGAAAAGAGGTTTTAATTTCTGGAGAAAGTGGTCACAAATAATATTAGCTGTTGCCTTATGACTGAAGGTGTCACCGTATTATTTTATTTGCTCACAAAGTTGTAATGAAGGTTCTGGGAGTTTTGAGTTAGAAATAATCATTTTGAAAATATTTGTCCCACAGCCCACCAGAGAATTTTAAATCCTCAATCCCCTCTGTCTAACACAGGTTGAATGTAATTAGCAACGGACCTTCTAATTTCCCTTTTCTGATCGGAATTTATTTCTTCCTCTCATGAAACTCAAAGCATGTTCTTTGCACTTGTCTCTCTCATAGCTGCAAATGGGTTAAATATGGTCAATTGCTTGGTACACCACCCACTGTTTAAGATGCTTGCAGGCCATGATCGTCATTGACAGATTTAAGGCCAGAAGGGACGATTATGATAATCTGGTCTGATATAACCAGGGCTTTGGAGCTGTGCTCTGGCTCCGCTCCAGCTCCACTGCTCCGGAGCTGCTCTGTGCTTCAGCTCCGGGCTCTGCTCCAAAGCCCTGGATATAACAAACTATAGAACCGCAGCCCGTAATTTCTGTTTGAACTATACCATATTTTTTTAGAAATAAACTGCTTCAAAACAAGGCGCCCAAGATTAGGGTCCAAAGGCCCTATTTACAACCTACCTAAGTGGCCGGATTTCAAAAAGTGCTGAGTACTTATGAAAGGCCATTAAAGTAGGTACCTAATCATGGCATTTAAGCTCCCACTTTTGAAAGTCTGGCTTCTGCTGTTAACTCCTGTTGCTCCCAAATCAGGAGAGCGAGCAATAATGCTGAGCTTCCTCCATACCCAACTATCAGAGAGAGAATCTGTTTTGCTCCCACCCGAGTTATGCTATATAAAGGTTTAATAATATACAGTATATAAACAGTTTGATTGCGATAGACCCCTCTTTGACATAGTTCCTGGTACTGTATTGAGGGGCGCATACACTATTCTCTCCCCTCAACTGCCTTAATAGACTGCTTGTTTACCAGATTATTGGCTTCCCTAAATGGGCCACGTCTTGTTACATAGCAGAATTCTCTTTGCTTAATCCAGTGCCCTCTGAATTCTGGGAGCAACTCAAGTCCTACTTACCTTATACATTTCAATAAAAGCTTCAGTCATCTAAAGATAGAATAGCTGTAAGAACATTAGAAATTTAAATGGCCTTTTTCTCAATTTACATGAAACATCTTATTCAGAGTTTCATTCTAGATAGTTAATGATGGTCCAGTGAACAGTATTTGAGCTGGGATAGCGAAATGCAAGTGTTTACATACACACACTAGCTATGAAGAGCAGAAAAGTTGCAAATTGCAAACCTTCCCACCAGAGGTTTCTTAACAGAACAGAAGCAGCTTCCTGTTTTGATACAGCAGCCCACACTATCTACAGTCTGAACAATTCACAGTAAATAGTCTCTGGCACAAACCTGCCACCTTTTTCCTGGAAAGGAGAAGGGGCAGCACCTTAGACGTGCCCTAAAACAAGAGCTCTTACTTACTGGTAAACATGAACAATGACTAGAGCTCCTGGAGATCTTGTTTTTCAGGGATCAGATGGCTCTGTTCTTACTACCTGTAAGATTTTTGATCTTGAAAAAAGCCAAGGACAGCAGGTCCACAGGAAGTTTAACTTTGAAAATTTGTTTACATAGCATTACCACATTCGTAACAACTGATGAACTTCATTTCTGAGAACTTAAGCACAGGAAGAAGAGTTACAAACAAATTAGAAATGCAAGTAACTATGCAACACAAGTTATTTATAATCCCATATTTTATTTTTATCTTTCAGTTACCCTGTATACCAGTCTGAATGCTGGTTGAAGCTGACCCAAAGCAATTTTTCAAATGAAAGAAAGCTCTTGCTGGTTCAGTTCAGTTGATTTACTTTAGCTGTTTCACACGTTGCATTTAAATCATTAAACCTTTTTGAATGCAAACAGCTTTCCAAAGTTTGAAATAAGACTTCCAGCATGTGAGTTTTCCCAAGTGCTTCCTGTGAAGTGGTTAGGCTCAAGATCAAGTTAAAATAGCAGGTGCACAGGATGGATTTAACATTTAGTTTGTGTAATTTTTAAGAAAATATTTTAAATGTATTTTGTAACTTATTCCAGCATGTGTGTCTTGTTACATATGTAAATACCAATAAACTTACCTTGATTTTTTTTGTGTGTGTCTCATTTTGAATTCATGGGGAAGCTGTGCAGTTATCTTTTGGCATATAACACCTTATATATGCTGGTCTCCTTTAGTAATAAGGGGAAGGAAGTTTTCAAGATATGTAGCTAACGGGAAACTTTTCCCTTTAAACAGCCTTGTACAAGATTTCTTCAATTAAGTTCTAGTCTAATGCTAAGTGTTTGATAATATGAAGTAATTTGCATGAGGTCTTGGTTAGCACTCAAATCAAAATTTTAAAAAAATTAGCTTTCACGGACCAGATAAATTCTTTCCTAGGTGATTAAAACGCTAACATACCTTAATAAATAAGTACTTACAGAACAAACACTTGCATGGTGCATCTCTCTCTAAAGATTAAAATTCACATCACCTGCATAAAGTTGGAACAGCAGTCTATATTCAAGAGAACTGCGGAAGTAAGGTAAGTGAAATTCACTTCAACCCACATGGTGGTAGCATCCTGTACGAATCTGATCACAGCCTGAAACTTCTTTAAAGTATACTCTGTAGTGATCTATGCTTCAGTAAAGAGAAAGGCCTATGTAATCATTAGTTGACTAAAGGAATCCAAACTAATTCAAAGCCTTTAGAGTAACATACATGTTATTTAAATACAACTAGTAAAACCATTGCTACATTTAGCTCAGTCGTAAGAAGCTTAGTGCTTTTTTCAGGAGTAGATGTTGACTTTAAGTGACAGAAATTGGATTTCAAATTGTATTTGAAAGGTGTCAAATTAAAGGTGGTATATTCTATCAATGAGACTGTACAGCGAGGTACATTGGCCATCAGATTACATGCATGATAAAAAAAGGAAATCATGATGTACATATTTTATAAAAAACTAGGTGAGGGCCATTCGGATTTCAAAACTGGATGATCTTCCTGAAATTAAAAAAAAAAATAATAAAGTACTAGATGTCATGATCAATAATGTTTAAACTAACTCACACGCTTGAGATATCATATGTGATTTGCAATACAGTGAAAAACTAAAGCAAGCAGATTTTCACCACTGTATATGGCACAAGCTAGGAATTTTATCCTACATATATTTAATATCCAATATAAAAAGTACTTCATTTGCAGCAAACTTCAACATATGTATTTACAAAACTTCAGAAGAAAAGCACCATTAATAAACACAGAAGTAGCAGATTGACATAGTGCTTTATTTAAGCTGTCTGTACGAAGGAAAATAATGTGCATCCCTATCATATACGTGTAAAAATACTAAGGATGTACAGTGTACAAAAACAGTTTCTTGTAGTTATTTCACATCCTTGTGGGTCATATACTTAAGGAAATAAACAGTTTAAGTATGACCAACAGTTATACGGTTTCTTGGGTTCATAGTTGTCTGCTTAATATCCTTAACCACATGACTAGATCTTGCAAGTATCTAATGAAAGAACGAGCAAGATCAAGAAATGTCAAACTCTAAAGCTACAGGGAGGTAATTCAATTACCAATTTAGAGGGTTTTTTTATTTAAATAAATACTTTACATTTCATGCTTGCCTGTAATGCACTACCAGGAGCAAGATAAGGAAATTCTACTGTAGACAGTACAAACAGTAGCAGCAAAGTGTGTACATTGAGGTGTAACATAGACCCTGCAGTTAGTAAGGAAGGACCTTACTTTTGTACTCTAGGAGAAGCTCATGGCCCCTGCAAGAACAGTCAGCTTTAAGAAGCCACAAATAAAGATGACATGACATGTCAAAAGAAAAATGTAAAACAATACTGGAATAAATGTTCCTTTAGCAACAGGAATGTATTGGATTAGTGTGGAAAGCAAAGCTGTGTGCAAAACTGCCAAAATCCAAACAGAAATGACACATTTCCTCAAAGATGGCTGCAGTATAAGAGGGCATACTGTATGTCATGGAAGTCAGTACAAGCTGGAGTCAAAGTCTGAAATGTACTATGATTGGAAGGCTCAAGGTACCAGCTACTGACTGCTGTCCCAATCCAAACTACAGCTGAGGACAAGCAGAAGAGAGAGATGCTTCAGCCATCTCTTTCAGCACAGCTTTGAGATTTCTCTTTTGTCTATTTCGAACATTGGTAGCAGAAGTCAGGAATTCCCAAACTCCAGGCAGCATTCAGTTAATATTAACTGTGTCTGTAATAAACTTGATAAAAGGTAATTGTGGAGACAGGCTATGCAATTCAGAGTGAAGTCTTAAAGTTTTCAAATAATTGATATTTACTGCAAACTACATAAGCAATAATGATCTAGCCACAGGGCCTGTCCTACTCATGAGGAACCATCAGCCCGAAGCACAACCCTGGCTTCTCATTAAACTTCAGGAAATGCACAAGGTATTTATTGCTAACACAAACGAAAAAGAGGAAAATGGAGACATATACTGGAGATTTTTAAACAACACAGTTTTAGTTTGCATCTATGAGGCATTTCTAGAGAACTAGTCAATGTTCTATTTACTATTTAGTTGGTTTAAATCATCACTATTTCAGTGTAGAAATTTTTACAAAAAGGTGCAGAATAGACCTATGATGTATTGACTGTGCGCCTTTCCCTCTGAAGTGCCATTCTCTAAAGATGAGTAGTGTTATAACATGATAGGGTGAGATCATATGTGGTTAGAGCATACACAAAGATACACCTCTTATCTGTTGATTATTAAAGATAAAACTTTGCTTAGGTAGAAACATGAAAAATTATCTGAATGAGTCTGTCTTAGCTGCCTTGCTAAAATGCCCATCTACCCCTTGACCACCTCAGCACATCCACTGCCAGCAGTGATCTTCATGCTAAGATAGCTAAACTTTAAATGTCAAGAGGATAAGGCATCTGCATATGAACATTTCTTCTTTCAAAAGTCATTTACTAAGTGATACAATGCTATCAATAATACTCTAAGATATCACATTCTACATGGGAGCTAACAAGGTACTTCAATAATAATCCCAGGATTTTCTGACGTCATTAGCAAGGGCACATACTCACCCTTACTGCACTTCCTGGCAACTTTGGAATATCCCAACTCCTAGCACCAAAAGGTTTATTATTCAAATGATCTTTAAAGAAGACCAAAGCTAAGATTTGTGCACACATCCTGCTAAATACAGATCTTCAGAAATGGAAAGACAACATTTTCCTTTCAGTGCGGTGTTTACCCATGATGGTTTAAATTCAGTCAGTCAGTTATTGTCATACTTCACATGCTGGGTTTCTTTGCCTACTTGGTTCAGGTCAAATGTTACCATCAATCTACTGTTTGCAGAATTATAATAAAGTGCTTTTCTTGTAATCATTGGGGTTTCAATTGTTTCAATGCATTTTCTCCATATAAAACCAAAAATTTCTATTGTGCTGCCAGGCTTTTATATTAGTTTAATCTTTAGTGGAGCACAGACATAGCATTTTTGACCTCTTGGCACATGGAGTTGGAATGTCCTCATCTACAGCACCAAAGAATTATATGACAGTATTTCATCCACAAAAGCCCAATTCTAAGTAATATGTACAATTTCAGAGCCTTGTTAAAATTTCCACATGGGAGAAAAAGTGCGTTATTCTCTTCAGCTTGTACAGTCCTTCCATATATTACAAAATAAACTGCTATAAGCCTGTTCTAAGATGTAGCAGCATTTGCAAACCTGACGCATACAATCCTTATCACTAAAAATAAATACTACCGCAGTATAACAAAAAATATATATATATATATTCAGAGTTAAACACCTGGAGAAAAGCTAATTCACAAACTCAAAATAAAAACAAATATGGCAAACACCTGTTTACCTTGGTGCACAAATTTTGGTGAAAAGCAATACCATTATGCCTGTCTACATTCTTCAGCCATCAGAGGTGATGTATATCAAGAAAGACAGAGAAAAGCATGAGAAAGATGTTATCTGGTGCAAATTATAAGACCTTTAAACAACTTTAAATGCTGCTTTTATGCCTTCGTTTCTTGCATGTAGAATGTTCAATTCTCCATGATTGCACATGAATCTGGAAGTCTCAGTGGCAGGCTGGGTGAGCCCAGCCCTTCTGCTTCTTCTGTAGAATCCAACAGTAATTAAAATGTTTCCCAAACACGTTCCAGCCAGATGTTAATGACATAGACCTGCTTCAAGTAATGATATGCCTAACAAAAACCTTGCATATTTACATCACCACCCCCTACCTTTCCTTGTTCTGACCAGCACAAACAGATGCAAGAAAACATTATAAACTCATCCTTTTAGACTAATTACAATTCTGATTTGTCTTCTAGAAGAAATGAGAAAATGCATCGGGAACCCACATGTTTCATTTAGCCCCCACTGTATACAATGGAGGATTTAAGTCATCTGATTTCAAAAGATTTCAAAATTACTTCTTGACGTTGCTATTATACTGAGACGGGGGAGCAGCAACAGGAGGAGACAGACTGATACAAAATTTCATGCAAAAAACAAAAAGGCCTGTTGGAGAGGGAGGGAACTTTTCAATTTTGAATGACCTCTGAAAGTGCCCCTGCAATCTTAATGGCTAGTACTGGTGGTGATGTTCATGAATCGTTTTCAGTGATAAACCTAAGATGACAGTGAAGCAGAAGAACAAACAAAAAAAAAGTTATTCTCGTCCGCTTGCAGAGTAGGAAAACTGAGGGAAATGTGGCCGCCTCTCATTGTCCATGCAGTCCATACCATCCTCATCATCTGTGGGAGGGGAAAGCTCAATGTTTTAATTTATTCACCACAAAATTATTTTATTTTTTAATTGTCTGTTAAATAACATTTCATTTCAGTGACTGTTGTATAAAACGGGTCGAATTTAAGTAAAACCAGATAAGTATATATTTATAGTTTATTTCTTTTATATATGTATGTATTACTTCAGAATAGCACCTGCAAATTCCAATCACCTTTGCAACTGTCTACAACAGTCAACATGTGCCAGTTAGAGACCAGTCAATATAGGCGATGAAAAGCTGGGGAAGAAAACTCTCTGCTGTCTTCAGGAGAAAACTGCTCTATTGTCTTAGGGAGCAAACTATTTCTCAAAATTGATCAGGGAACTATATTTTTACAGTGATCAAATTTAAAGATTCTTCTATTTTGAAAGATTTGCTTTTGTTAAAATGGAGACTGCTGCTAGAACATGTAATAATCTCAAAATGGAAAAAATGTTTGAAGAGTGACCACTGCATACAAGCTGCACATAGTATTTTTTTTAAAAAAATTGGAAAACAGTTACATTTAGCTTTGCAATATTTCCTGGAATGCACACTAAATTCTTAAATTATATACATTAAAAAACCCTATCTTTAGAGACTCCAATTGAAACTGTTCTCCTCAATGACATACTTATGTCTCCATATATTCCAGGCAAAGAATCTAAAATTAATACAACTTTGAGTAATCAAGTTCTCAAAAGTGAGTACATGTGGAAGTAACAATCAATACTTAATTCTGTCCCATTGTGCTTATGCTTTCAAATATGGTCTCCTTTTACATTTAAGTTTAAACTAGCACAATATATACTTTTTTTATATCACCATACTTAACATAAAAGTTAGATGTATTTAAAATAATCAGTCTGATTTTTAAATTTCAGTGAGATCCACAAAATAGGCCAAGTGTGAAGAAAAATGGTTCTTAAACTAACAGTTGTACAGTAACTTCTTGCTTAACGTTGTAGTTATGTTACTGAAAAACATTGTATTTTATATATATGTATATACACAGATATACACAGTGTAAGTTTTAAACAAACAATTTAATACTGTACACAGCAATGATGATTGTGAAGCTTGGTTGAGGTGGTAAAGTCAGAGGGTGGGATATTTCCCAGGGAATGCCTTACTGCTAAATAATGACCTAGCACTCGGCTGAGTCCTCCAGGGTTAACACATTGTTGTTAATGTAGCCTCACACTCTACAAGGTAGCAGGAATGGAGGGAGGGGAGACAGCATGGCAGAGAGAGACATGCATTGCCCCTTTAAGTACGCTGACTGCACTCTAAGTACATTGCCTTTTTAAGCAGATCAGCAAGTTGAGACAGCAGCTGCTGCCAGCAAGCTCCCTGTCCTGAGCCCTGTCATGTCTTCCCCCCCACTTTCTGGAGATAAGGTACAGGAGCAGGGGGAGGGGACACCCTGATATTGGCAGGAGGCTGCACAGGGCAGTGGGGAGAGGGACAGCAGAACTGCTGGCAATTGATAGCTTGGGGGGCTGCTGGTCCATCCTGGTTCCAAGCCCCCACCACCTAGCTCCAAGGGCTGCTCTTTCTGCAAGCAGTGGACAAAGCAGGCGGCTGCCAAACAATGTTATAAGGGAGCGCTGCACAACTTTAAATGAGCATGTTCCTTAATTGATCAGCAACATAACAACAAAACGACATTAACTGGGATGACTTTAAGTGAGGAGTTACTGTAGTTTTAAAGTACAGGCTCAGATTCCTTAGTTCAGGGCAGTCACTTCATGCCACACCAAGATGTAATCTATCCCTAAAGCTGATTTAACCAGCTAGGGGAGGATCACTCATAAGGATGGCCACATTAGGTCAGACCAAATGTCCATCTAGACCAGTATCCTGTCTTCCGACAGTGGCCAATACCAGGTGCCTCAGAGGGAATGAACAGAACAGGCAATTATCAAGTGATCTCCTGTCACCCATTCCCAACTTCTGGCAAACAGAGGCTATGGACACCATCCCTGTCCATCTTGGCTAATAGCCATTGATGGACCTATCCTTCATGAACTTACCTAGTTCTTTTTTGAACCCTGTTATAGTCTTGGCCTTCACAACATCCTCTGGCAAAGAGTTCCACAGATTGTGCGTTGTGTGGAAAATACACTTCCTTTTGTTTAAAACCTGCTGCATGTTAATTTCATTTGGTGACCCCTAGTTCTTGTGTTATGAGGAGTAAATAACACTTCCTTACTTACTTTCTCCACACCAGTCATGGTTTTATAGATTTCTATCATATCCTTTAGTCGTCTCTTTTCCAAGCTGAAATGTCCCAAACTTATTAATCTCTCCTCATATGGCAGCCGTTCTATACCCCTAATAATTTTTGTTGCCCTTTTCTGAACCTTTTCTTATTATAATATCTTTTTTTGAGATGGGGTGACCAAATCTGCACGTAGTATTCAAGATGTGGGCATACCATGGATTTATATAGAGGCAATATGATATTTTCGGTCTTATTATCTATCCCTTTCTTAACGATTCCCAACATTCTGTTTGCTTTTTTGACTGATGCTGCACATTGAGTGGATGTTTTCAGAGACTATCCACAATGATTCCAAGATCTCTTTCTTGAGTGGTGGTAACCAATTTAGACCCTACCATTTTATATGTATAGTTGGGATTAAGTTTTCCAATGTGCATTACTTTGCATTTATCAACACTGAATTTCAGAATCTGCCATTTTGTTGCCCAGTCACCCAGTTTTGAGAGATCCTTTGTAGCTCTTCACAGTCTGCCTGAGACTTAACTACCTTGAGCAATTTTGTATCATCTACAAATTTTGCCACCTCACTGTTTACCCCTTTTTCCAGATCATTTATAAATATATTGAATAGGACTGGGCCCAGTACAGACCCCTGGGAGACACCACGATTTACCTCTCTCCATTCTGAAAACTGACAATTTGTTTCTACCCTTTGTTTCCTATCTTTTAACCAGTTACCAATCCATGAGACAACCTTCCCTGTTATCCCATGACAACTTACCTTGCTTAAGAGCCTTTGATGAGGGACCCTGTCAAAGGCTTTCTGAAAAATCTAAGTACACTATATCCAATTCAATTGATTTCATATGAGTTAAAACTAAAGCAGTTTAAAATGCAGGGCTCTCTCAAACTATGTACAGTCTTAAAACTGGGATAATCTTAAACTTGGAACTGTCTCAAACTCTAGGCCATTTAACTTAAAACATTCATGAAATTGACTGATGATCAGCCCAGAATTAGATTCAAAGCTGAAGCACTTCATAATGCCCAAACTTTCTTTACCACTCCTGCTTTACCCTGACAAAAAATAGTCAATTTCTCCTCAAGTGTAAAGTTCATCACTTCAAAATACTCAACCCATTTTCTCTAAACTGATCTAAATTCAAACAAAATCTGATCAGTTTTTTAAAGTTATGCATATATAAAAATTCTCATTCAAATACATGGAGAAGATGGGGGTGTTATTTTATTTTAAAAAATATGCAGAACTCAAAAACAGCTAAAATGGTTCTGTTCAAGTTTACTTCTTCAAAACAAAACAAAACAAAACAAAAAAAACCCACTTCTAGACTGGCACACCAAGCCAGAAAATCTGATTAAAAAAGGAATGTGTTTGAGAAAGTTATAAGCCACCAAAAAAAAGAGAGGGCAAACTAAAGGAACTCAACCTTAAGTATAGCGTGTGCTGCCTTCATATGCTATAATTCTATACATACTTTTTTGTTATGCAAAACGTAATAAAAACCAATACCTCTTTAGAGAGAAAATCTATTTAAAATATTGTCCACTGGAGTTTGGAATATTGTTTCCCATGTGACAACTTTTTTTTATTAAATACAAGTTAGAGTGATCAAATATTGATTTATAGATATGTAGATAAACTGGGTAAATGCAATGTGTATTAAGAGTAAAACTTGCCCAAGTGCAGAGGGTCTGCACAAGGTGCAATGCACCACTTAAATTAAATTAATAATGGCATTAAGGGCTCTTGTGCGTGGAGCCTAGCATGAGGCCTCTGCACTGGAGTGAATTTCATCTAAAACAAAAAAATCAGGCTGTCTAGACAGGAGATATCTGTTCTCTGTGGCAATGTGTGCTCTTTTCTGACCTTGTTGCAGAAAGGTATTTAAGTATGTGCCTACCATCTTTAAACATCTGAATAGTCTCATTGGAGTCAATGGGAGTATACATATATATGCTTGAAATCTAGCATGCGCTTAAGTACTTTGCTGAATTGGGGCCTTTATTAGCAAACAAACAAGATGTTTAGAAATTGGCATTTGCCTCATTAAATAATTTATGGAATTATGAGGTTGTTCAGAAATCTCATGGGCTAAAATATGTAACCTCACTACGCTTACTGTAAAGAGTCTTGTGCCATACAGAACTGTTCTTAGATGGTTCCACATTAAGTTCCACTAAAAGGTGTGAGAACACTTTGCCCATTAGAACAGAATAACTTATTTCATATCAGTCTTTATAGTATATGTACACACTGATAATCTATCTTCTCAAATGTAGTTATACAGCGCTTTTCAGGCTTACTTACATTTTTCAGGTGGAGTTATTGTAATCGTCTGAGCTGTAAATTCTTCATCAAAATATCTGGTGTCTGTCTCAGATGTCACTTGAGGTTTAAAAGGCGGTACAAGCTGACGGGAATAAACAAGAAGAGTCATGTTAATATACCTGAATTCAACCAAATCATTGTTAGGAGTAGACATGCCTGCCTTGAGTCCGGCCTTGAGTGCAGGACTAGATGACCTATTCAGGTCTCTTCCAGTCCTACATTTCTCTGATTCTATAAGGATCTCATGTGGCTCAGTGGTTAAACCAAAAGACTTATAACAGGAGGATCATGGGATTGAATGACAGTTGAGTCCCTGACAGCTAGTATGACAGGCAAGTAGACTTCCGTCTGTCAGAGATGCTAGTTTAGAAACTAAGTAAGATGAGGAGCACAAAAACAAAATTACTTTTCTTAGATAAATTGCACTATAGAAACATAATTAACTAGAAACTCTGAATGGGGTGTTTAGGGTGTATAAAAATTAATCATATTTTTTTAATTTTAAATACAGTTTTATTTTTAAATTATAACAACCTATGTTAAGGCCTACACTGTGTAATATATGTTAAAATCACTTTAAATTAAGCAGCACATTTGTTGCCAAGTTTTAAAGAAAGCCAAACCACTGAACTGATGGAAGTTACTACTAAGCACTTGGCACCAGAATTTGCTGATGTGCCAAACCAGCTTTTGACAGTGGTATCCTCTTTTGCAGGTGTAGAGAGAATATTTTCTTCATTTTAGTTTATTTACCTAGTTCAGTCCAACACTAATTCATTCAAAGTTTAGAAACTGACAGGGAGCTGAAAAGGCAGGAAAGCTTGTTTTCCTTTTCCAATCTATGAATAAAAACTAGGCGTGAGAGAACGAGATCTACTAGTTCTAAAATCTTAAAAGACATGGTAAATAAAAACAATCAGTACAGTTCACTAACTACAGATAATATTTCCTTTGTTTAATAAATCCTTTAGTTTTAAGTGCAAAGCATGTTTTGATAATTTTTGATAAACTCTTATCCATCTAGCACATTAAAGGTAGTTTTATGTAACTGATTAAAAATTGTGTCCTAGGCATTTTAATTACCATCCAAATAGAGCTTGACACAAATCACAAGTAAAACATTAATTATCTAGTAAATAAGAAATGCATTATTCAGCATTTTCTAAAGTACGTGCAAACATTAAGAATCTGAATAAATATAAATTAAGCTATATAACTGCTTAAATAAATGTGTACAGATATAGTGTATCCTCCTAATTAGCAAAAAGAAGTTGCAGACTTAGTGTAAAGACTAGATTTAGTTGCAAATGAACATGTTTTAATAGTTACCAACCAATGAGAATCAACCTTTCTTTAGGAAAATAACTAAAAAGCACAAAAATGCAAAACAAGATTAAAATCAGCAATTAAAATCAAGCTTTCCTGCTTGCTGATTTAAATCATTTTGACTTAAATTAATCCACTCTGATGAGAGTCTCATTATTCACTGAAAGACCAACATTAGAGCACTTCTCTTACAAAGGCTTACATGTGTGCTTACCTTATACTCTGAGTAGTTGCAATCAAGTCAGTAGGACTACTCAAAGAATGCAAAGGTAAGCTTGTGTGTAAGTCTTTGCAGGACAGGGCTCATGTTTGTCATGAACTGTTTCTAAAAAATAAACAATATGAACACGTACATTTTAAATGTCAAAAAGGTCAGTTCATGTTTAGGTCAGCCTCATGAACACAACATTTCTGAATTTTTTCCGCCATTTTCACAGTATTTTTTAAGTGCAAAGAAGAACTGTCATGGTTAAAAAACTGCTCCAGTTTACTGGTTTGTTCGTGCATGTAGACTACACACAGCCATGGAATTGGCCTGATCAATGGATGACAGAAGACATCATAGGTCCATCAGGAACTTCAACAGAAGATAGGTCGGGGCAACACAAATGTGTAAGGATTGGAGCATCACCACCTTGGGGTGAAAAATGCAAGAGTAGGATTTTCACACCGAAAAAAGGGTACGAAGTTTTCACTATATCTTTAAGCAAAACTTGAAGCAAAATTGTAAACACGCTCCCAGCTCTAAACTTGACTAAATGCTGAATAATAGCAAAAATAGCAAATCTGTGTGAGAATTTTACAACATTGCTTGCCTTTAGTCAAGAAGATAATCTATTTCTAAGTGTTCATTATGTTTGCACGTGTTTGGTCTATCACATCTTAGAAAGCTGACCATGATAATAACCTTAGGTCCTTCAAATAAACTTAAAAATCTTCTTAAAATCAATCTCCATTTCCACCCCACCCTTTAATACTAATATGCACACGCCTTACTAGAGGATGTGGATTTCAGATCCATTTAATTTTTTGAGATGATTCTAAGCCAATTTCATCTGCCCAATAAGTGCTTCAGAACAACATGTATATTGTACTTGCATACTACATTAAATGCATCAAGTCCCTTAACATGTCCTGTTCCAGACGATATTAAAGCTTGGGTAACCTAGTTCCCAGTTTTGAACATACATTTTTGCTGTAGCTGCACTATGTAAAATCATCCTGTTAAGCAATCAAACAACTAAGTGAACGTCACTAGTGTGACTGGAATCTCTAAAAAAACTTTAGAAGCTGTTCATTGCTTACTTCAGATGTTCATTGCTAACATGACAGTGTAACTGGTTTAAAACAAAGGATTTTTGTACCGCTATCAAGTGGTTAAAGATGATCTGAAATACACTTCTTTTCTCTTTTTAAAGAGATTAAAAAAACAGACTTCCCCAATCATTAGCAGATTAGATAAACAAGTCTAGGCATAAATTGGTTTTAAAATGTATTTTTAAATGGGTTCCTCCTCCATTTATCTGCAAAGTCTTGCATTTGGGCTCCAAGGTTTCAGAGTTTTCACTGCTACTGCCTTCCACTGCTATGGAAGGCAACTACCACAACATAAAGGCAGCAGCTCCCTTTCCTGCTTTTGGTATTAATCTTACAATCCACTTTTGAAGGAGAAACAGAGTCAACATTTACAAATGGAAGCATTTTTAATTTGGAGCCTCAATCTATAGTGTGTTAATGATCTGGGATCTGTATGCCATCTTTTAAATACAGTCAATTTCTAAAAGGCATCTCTGTTAAACTTAAAATATAAGAAGTTCCAAATAATGTTATTTAATGTAATCAGAGACACAGAATAGTATCTGCATATTTTCAACTCAAACTAAAATCTGAAGTTAGCAGTTTCAGTGTCTTTCCTATATTAGAGGCCAAATCCTGGTCCCATTGAAGCCAATCGATTTACACTTGAGGCTAGGGTTTAGCTCTCTCACACCTCGACTTTGAAACATTATCACCAAACAATTCACTTGTCAATTTACTCCACAGCACAAAGAACAAAACTACAATGCAACACTATAGCAAAAATATTGGCAAACTATTCTGCACTTGATATGTTTTTTTAAACCCGTTGTGATTTGTCAGACTTTTGTATAACATAAAATTTACAAAAGCACTCATCTTTACTAGTTACTTTGCAGTCCTCATTAAATTACCACACAGTTCAAAAAACAATTTTATCCCATTTAATCCTTTGCTACTGCTACACAGATCTATAAGGAGTACACATGTTGGAGGAAAAACTAACCCTTCACACCATAATCAATGGAGACTATAATCCTAGCATAACTATACTGTGTAACCAGAATGATAATGTAACTATGTTGTAACTAACTAGCCACATTGGGAACTGTTTTTTGAGCAGCATGCTGTCCCAATTTGACCTGTAACTGCCAGCGCTTCACCTTTAATTCTAAACACCTCTATACACTTTTCCGGAAAGGAGGTAATTATTCAGACTAGTAAAATCCATGAATGGTGCATTAAAAAAAAACAAAAAGAAAAGGAGTACTTGTGGCACCGGAAGTGAGCTGTAGCTCACGAAAGCTCATGCTCAAATAAATTGGTTAGTCTCTAAGGTGCCACAAGTACTCCTTTTCTTTTTGCGAATACAGCCTAACACGGCTGTTCCTCTGAAACCTAAAAAAAACAACCCACACAACCAACCACACACACAGGTGAATTCTAACGGTTTTCAAATCCAGATATTTTCATGTTTTCATTCACCCAAAGAATGTTTTAACTGACTGCTGTTAACCTGAAAGTTGTGCTAGTAAGAGGAAAATATCTATGATACACTGGATAAACACCACAAAGACACAAAAGGATAACAGAATGCCACAGACATTTTTAGTAATTGGAACAGATTCTGCTGTCAGTTATATCTGTGTAATTCCATTAATCCTCTGACACAAATTTCTAATTGGATGGTCTGTTTCTTTAAGCATGTTTTCCTCCTCTTGGTTGCATACCTATATCTATAATTTAACCAGAATTTTCACCCAAAATCTATGGGTAGGATTGACGAAGGGGCTTATGAGTTGTGGTGCTGACCATCCACAGTGTCTAACTTTTACACACCTAGAAAATCCAGGAACAATTCTGGGATCCACAAAGCCAAGTTAGGCACCTCGGCTCCCTGCACAATGAATGGGGAGAGAGAGGTGCCAAAAAAATATGATTCACGAAAGCCAGCACACTAGGCAGGGAGCTGCCTAAGATAACCAGAGGCTTTTAGCCCAGTGGTTAGAGCACTCACCTTGGAGGTGGAAGACCCAGATTCAATTTCCTCCTCTCTGCCAAAGAGGGAGAAAGAATTTTTACAGGAGTCTCCCACCTCTCAGGAGGGTGCCCTAACCACTGGGCTGTCCCACTCTCTCTCTGGTTCAATGACTGTCTCACTGTGGATAAATACTTAGTCACTGGGCCAGAGAGAGAGTAGGAATGACTCTGTAGCCCAGTGGTTAAGGCCCAACTCCATGTCCAGTCCCCCTGCTCCAACCCCTCTTTCATTATTTATCAAGACTGGAACAGCTTCAAAAGGAGAGAGGCTGAGAGAGCCCCACATCAGAATACCCCATAGCTCAGTGCTTAGAGCACCCTCCTAAGAGGCGAGGGACTCCTGTTCAAATTCTTTGTCCCCCTCTGGCAGAGAACGGGGAATTGAACCTGGGTCTCCCACATCCCAGGTGAGTGCTCTAATCAGTGGGCTAAAAGTTATAAGGTGGGTACCACTACAAATGGAACCTGAACTAATAGGTGTCCTTTGAGCATACCTACTGAACCAGACCCCACAGAGGCTACAGGTGGTTGAACACCTATCTTCTCCTGATTTGTGAATCACTGTGGGGCTTAGGTGGGAGACAGGCATTCAGATGCCTAGAGTGAAGTAGCAGCGCACATACCCAGGAGCAGAAACACAGCTGCCTACAGTGTACAGCAGGTGTTTGGTGGATCGCAATGGAGCCAAAACTGGGATTTTGGCACCTAAGTCTGGGGTTTAGACACTCAAGTACCTTAGTGGATCCCACCCTATGTGACTAAAACATTCTTTCACCTACATATACTACTTAGAATGGTGCTATGAAAATTATAATTTTACAAAAATATGTGGTTTTCATTTAACTTGATTTGATTGGAAAATATTATACCACAACGATAAAGATTTTTAAATTAATACACTTAGTCTTCTTATTACCTATTTAAAAGCTAAATACAGATCTAAACCTGAAGTCAGAAAGAAAATTTATCCCTCAAATATAAACTAATGTACAAAACAACTTTAAAAAATTGACAGGTTTCAGAGTCGCAGCCGTGTTAGTCTGTATCCACAAAAAGAACAGGAGTACTTGTGGCACCTTAGAGACTAACTAATTTATTAGAGCAGAAGCTTTCGTGGACTACAGCCCACTTCACTGGATGCATAGAATGGAACATATAGTAAGAAGATATATATACACACATACAGAGAAGGTGGAAGTTGCCATACAAACTGTAAGAGGCTAATTAATTAAGATAAGCTATTATCAACAGGAGAAAAAAACTTTTGTAGTGATAATCAAGATGGCCCATTTAGACAGTTGACAAGAAGGTGTGAGGATACTTAACATGGGGAAATAGATTCAAAATGTGTAATGACCAGCCACTCCCAGGCTCTATTCAAACCCAAGTTAATGGTATTTAGTTTGCATACTAATTCAAGCTCAGCAGTTTCTCATTGGAGTCTGTTTTTGAAGCTTTTCTGTTGCAAAATTGCCACCCTTAAGTCTTTTACTGAGTGGCCAGAGAGGTTGAAGTGTTCTCCTACTGGTTTTTGAATGTTATGATTCCTGATGTCAGATTTGTGTCCATTTATTCTTTTACATAGAGACTGTCCAGTTTGGCCAATGTACATGGCAGAGGGGCATTGCTGGCACATGATGGCATATATCACATTGGTAGATGTGCAGGTGAACGAGCCCCTGATGGCGTGGCTAATGCAACTAGGTCCTATGATGGTGTCACTTGAATAAATATGTGGACAGAGTTGGCATCGGGCTTTGTTGCAAGGATAGGTTTTTGTTGTGGTGTGTGTGGTTGCTGGAGAGTATTTGCTTCAGGTTGGGGGGGGCTGTCTGTAAGCAACGACTGGTTTGTCTCCCAAGATCTGTGAGAGTGAAGGATCATTTTTCAGGATAGGTTGTAGATCTTTGATGATGCGCTGGAGAGGTTTTACTTGGGGGCTGAAGGTGACAGCTAGTGACGTTCTGTTATTTTCTTTGTTGGGCCTGTCCTATAGTAGGTGACTTCTGGGTACTCTTCTAGCTCTATCAATCTGTTTTTTCAGTTCAGCAGGTGGATATTGTAGTTTTAAGAATGCTTGATAGAGATCTTGTAGGTGTTTGTCTCTGTCTGAGGGATTGGAGCAAATGCGGTTGTATCTTATGCTCTAATAAATTTGTTAGTCTCTAAGGTGCCACAAGTACTCCTGTTCTTTTTTAAAAAAAATGAAAAACTTCCTTTTACCACAATATTCACATCTCTTTATTTACAAAAACACACACATTTCCCGGCATTCTCTCTCCCCCCACCCTCATTTAATTCTGCAACACAGCCAGTCACAGACAGGGGGACAAACTAATATGGACTTGCTGATACAAAGAAGTTCCCAAGCAATGTGCCCACCTATAAAATGGTCGTAAGATTCCAGAACAAGTTGTATACCTGTAAAACATTCCAGTTTTTTGGTCTTCTCAAGTTAAGCTTTTCAACAATTCAGAGAGCAGGCCACCCATCATGGTTTGAAATCAAATGATTGCTCCACTCGCAATTCAACAGCCATCACTATATTATCATTTTCCAAGAATCTGTTACAGTTTTCAACAAATAATATAAGCAACTTAGGTAGTATTAAATATGCAGCAGACTGCACCCTATTTAGCAATCCCAGTACATATCTCCAGTAGAACAGAGTGCTCAACTCATGGGAAAAAATAATTCAAGATATGACCTTTATGTTGGGGATGTTAGCCTGACCTCAGCTGGGGGTGGCAAAGATGACAATATAGGAACCTTTCTTATCTCTAACTACTGTGGCCCTATAGTAATTGTTAGTGAGCAACAAAATAACAGAGAGGCAGGAAATGATCACATATAGTAATAAAAATAAAGAGCAATACACAGCTCTTTAGTAAGATATCGCAACCTAAAGGTCTTTCTATAAAATTTGACCACATCAGCAAGTGACTATGGGTCTGAACCAAAGCCCACTGAAGTCAGTAGATCAAATGAAATATTCTCATTGACTTCAGTGGGCTCTGAATCAGTCTCCATGCAGACTTCATCTGTCTAAATGAGTGATGATTCTTAGAATACTTTGAAAATTTGCCTGTTGGTTACAAAAGAAGAGTGTTGCATGAATCTTACAGTGCAGAAAGGGAGAACAACAATAATCAGATGTCTTAAATACTGTTAAATATTACCAACTATAGAGATGTTTCACAATAGAAAGGGAGTGGTGTCATCTAATCCCATCCGAAGGGGGAAAAACACTATTTTATATTAAGTAGTTAGGTGTGTCTCAGTAACATTCAGTGACTCAGTCGATGAAACTAGAAATTATGTCAGTATTCCAGACAGTTGGGAAAATAAAACAAGAAAAACACACAAAACTCCAGGCTGCAACCGGAAGCGAAAAACTCGATATAAAATACTTTGTTGATGTTTTTGAATTCATTCTGACTACATTGCCTTTCACCACCAAGATATTCCAAGCAATTTACAAAGCAATAGGAGATACTCATAATGCAGAAACTGTGTAGAAAAACATGGCAGCCCCTATCACCTTGTGTGTGTGTGTGTATAATATCTATATATTCACACACATCAATACAAAAAAAAGCTACAAAAAAGAGAAAATGGGAGCTAAGATTGAGATATACAAGTACATGTGACACACAGTGCCCAGGAGTGTCCATTCCTTTCATATTTTTTCCACTAGCAGAATCATTTTATGTAATCATGACTGTAAGTATAAACACACTTATGCTTCAGTCATGATTGTATAAAATTATGCACCAGTCCTTTTGATCTATTCAGCCTATTCATGCACACACAACTGTACCTCAATTCTTTTTTCAAAACACCAAATCAACCTCCTGCTCTGCCATCCCATGCACAGCTCATAAAAATCTTCCCTTGACCACTGTAAACAAAATGTTGTGGCTATTTTCAAAACATATCACCCAATTTTAGAGGAAGAACCTCTACAAAAAATTTACCGGCTTCTGTAGAATTCTTGTCAAGAAATGAGGAACCGGCACATGGAGCTTCTGCACCACCTCCAGAAGAAAATGAGAGAAATGCAGTAAGAAATCCTTTCCTGACGACCTTTCCCATAACGTGGAAGCATAAAAAGCGGTATAAACCGTTTACATAAATGTAGACACAGAGGGATATTGTATTATGACTGCACATTTATGGGATTAGAGGCATACTCATTTGCTTGAAACCGACTTCGTGAGTGATGTCACCAGTGCTCAAGTTGGACCAAGTCCACACCACAGAGTCTTCATACTTTTTTTGAGGCTGCCATCTTGTTCTTTAGAAACTACACTTTCATTTAAAAACAAAAAATAAAAGTCTCCAGTGCTTACAGATGTTAAGAAATCCTTAAACATATGAACTAAGCATAACTGCCGCAGAGATGTCTATCTGAGTTTGTAGAAAGCCTGAAACAACAATTCCAGGAGAAGTGAACTGCCCCATTCATCTCAAATGGGTTTTAGCTCAGAAGCTCAATCATGAGGACTTAAATGTCCACACTGTTAACTATTACACTATTGATTACAGCATTTAAAAAAGGACAATCATATTATGAAGATTTCCATAGTCTACTGTGAGTAACATTTCAATTTGGTGCCACAAATGGTGCTTGGGTGATCCCACCACATCTTGCTCCACCCTTCTGACCCGTGAAATCAAAAGTCCAGAGGAAAGGAGCTGAGCACAACAAGGCACCCACGCCTACATCTCAACCAGCAGCTCTGGTAGGAACTAAAAACCCAGGTGGCCTTGTCCCGTGATTGCTGCTCCTCCCTCTGCTCCAGGCTCCCTCAGGCTCAGGCAGACAACACAGCACCAGTTACACCGAGATGACATGTTTCAGCCCTTTCTTCATAACCTAGGAAGACTGGAAATACTTTTTTTAAATTAAAGTTTAGGAGTGTGACTTCACCACATGCCTCTGGCAGCCAATGTCCAAGGCATGTGTCTATTGTACATATGCCTTAACGCAATCCCAGACCAGGTTTTCCTTTACCCCACAGAGGGAATCGCACCTGGAGAGCCCAGGAGAACATGCAAGATCAAATTTTGAACATCTGCACAGTCTCTTGTGAATGGCATCTCCTTTTGGCATCCAAAGTAGGTGAACCTTGGGACAGTACCACCCCTTTTCCCCACCCTCAGCTCAAGATGCTACCCATCATTCATGAACAATAAGGGCAAATACAGTATCTCACTGTGTGCAATTATATAAAGAGATTTTATACCACTCTGAGGCTTTTCATGCTTTCTAATTGATTTATTTCCACTGTACAAATAGTTCAATATAGTAGAAAATATTCCATATAATCCAAAGGTTAATCAATCAAATGATAATCTTTATGTCTTGGAAACTCCTGACCACCATTTTAGTTACTTACAAATGGCTGAAAATATTATGGAGTAGCTGTGATGCACTCACGCTGAAACTACCAAACTAAAAAAAAAAAGAAGAAGCTGATGCTGACTTTGCCTCATAAAGGTCACATAAAAAGGAATTTAACCTCAGACTGGCATGAACTGAACATCACATTAAGACCCTGATCACACACTTATGCATATGTTTATATCTAAGCATGTGAGTAATTCCACTGAAACCAATGGGACCCTACAGATGCTTAAAGTTAAGCAAATACATACTGTGTGCAGGATCAGGGCCTAAACAATTTTCATTTCATACCGATGAAAAATATGATAATACAACACTCATTTACCTGAGTAATTCCCAGTGAAGGGTAAATAGCCACACCTCTTAATTCTTTAACACTTCTCAATGTATTATCCAACTGAAATAAATTATAGCCAAAATGTCAAACCTGGATGACTGAAATTTGGCTCCTACATCCATATTTAGGCACCTAAATAAAAGTTTAGCCTGAACATCCATGTATTTAGATGCCTATATGCAGATTTAGGAGTCAAACGTCAATAAACAGAGGGCAGAGCTTCAGCTAGTGTAAACTGCCTTCATTCCAATGGAGTGAAGACAATTTACACGAGCTCAATTTATACCCCAAATTTGAAAATGTTGACCAATATTTATAACATACTGTTAGGGGTTTAATCATGGATACTTGTTTCTACAGCTGTATTGACAACTACAAAAGCACACAGATTTTTATTATCTCTATCATGGTTGTTCTGCAGACCTTCCAATAGCATCATATAAATATAAGAAGAAACTGAACAATGAAAACCAATATCCATGTTCATTCATTAGGGATGACCATTCGTAACCTACTCATAATTACATTTCAGTATGACACTGGTTTTTCCCAATTCCTGACAACAAAAATACTGTACACTCTTGCTCTTTACACATTTGTATGAATTACAACATGGGAAGTATAATTTTCACTTTGACTACAGTGTGTATGTTTTAAAAGTGTATAACAGATAACTTTAAAATATACACATCATTACAACTCACTATAAATGTCATCATATGTTGTACCTTAAAAGCTACCATCTAGTTTACTACACTGAGTCTTAATACAAGTCAAAGGATGTGTCAATTTTAAGCTTCTTTCTAGTTCTAAAAGTCAAGTCTTGGAATATTAGTGTAATTTACATTTTAATGCCCAGAAATCACATGTTGGGTCATTCTATCAAACTTTACTGGAGATCTATATCACTGATCCTTTTAAATGGCTACTTTGCAGCAATCAACGGAATAAAGTACATGCTGATAATAAACTTAGGTGTGATTTCAGGAGACTGACTCATAAGTTAGTTAAAGCAGACGGAGAAAATCCTAAATCAAATTGTGTAAAGAAAATGGTGAGAGCATACCTCAAGAAATACTAACATTCACTCTCATTCTATCACAAGTGCGCTCATCCATAACTTTTGAAAGTATTTCTCACAATTCACATATGTATTCACCATTTATGAAACGGTTTGGACTAACTGATCAATGAAGATTCCAAACAGTTTAGGTATGTGATGTTCTCACACAGATTGGAACTCATTAGCCAAATCATTGTACATAGCAATACACCAATACATTTTAAAAGGGACACTGACAAAGTTGGTAGCCCCAAAATTTGACCTACCTTTTTGCTGTTTTTCCTTACATATATCTGCAAAGACTGTGTAGTTCTTTTGTTTTCTTTCCAAAACAAATTTTTCAGTGCTCCTTAAAAAAGTAAATAAATGCTAACAGCTCAATACCAATCTGAGCAAACTTTCAATAGCAAAACAGTGTATGAATGCAATGGAGGGAAAGTGTTTTGGTAAAGAACAAGATTTCAGCATAAAGTTTCCAATGGATTATCATACTGATATTTTAACATTTTGAAAAATACATTGTCAGTGTGTCCTTTAAACTGTTGGTTTTCCTTTAGTGACCATAAAGCTTTTGTTTTGTTTTTTAAACAGTTGATATAATGGGCAAAAAGCGATTGGAACCTCCATGACTTATTAAAACCAACATCCATAAGAATCCAAAATTGCTTTTTGTGGTTTCTTTATGTCATGTAAATTCCGTCAGCTGGCATTATTTTGCTAATAAGTAGGTTTTGTGCATATAATTTAAATACCATTGGAAATCCAATGAAAAGATCAGACTGGTTAACCATTTTCTGATCCTTTTACTACTTTGCACAGAAGCAACAAAAAAGAGAATTGAGAAGATCTATTTTGCAACGTTTATGATGATGTTGCAGGCAATTATACTGAAGTATGACTCTCAAACAGGAATTGCCTAAAGAGAGCTGTGGGAATTCTCCCACTCCGACCTCCCTTCCTTAAACCCTGATTCAACTGAAGCCTTTAAGTATGTACTAAGCAATAGGAGTTCAGCACATCCTTAAGTGCTCTCTTGAATCAGAGGCCCTGGAACAACATTTGACAATTTAAAAATTACATTTTCTTCTAGCCTAAATAAAAGTATAAATACTCCAAAAAAAAGTCTTAAAGGAGTCAGAGAAAATTCAACATTAATTTATGTCTAAAAAGAAGACTAATATAAGACCATGCCAACCTATTTAGTTTCTCAGTCTCATACACAGTAAAAAAAAAAAAAAAAAAATGCAGTAATCAACCCCATCGGGATTGAGATGATCATAGGAAGTGCCTGGCAAGGTCATTCTCTTTCCTTTGCCTTCATGATTTTTTTTTCTGCCAAAAAATAGATACATCAGAACAAAATGGATAACTATTATCCAATTTTTCATTTCAGAACAAGGACTTTCTCTGCTCTTGCCTACTTTACAGCACATTATTATTATTCAGTTAATGTCAACAAACTGATCCAATTAGACAGCAGTATCAGACAGCCGATCATTCATTTGCATCAGCCAGAGCTACTATCTGTTGCAAACAAGGTAGTGTCCTATTGTTATGAAACATTTATCAACTTTAGGGTTTAGGTTAAATAATCTTGTTTCTAGTAACAATAGACTGAAGTCTGGTGAACAAGAAGAGATGCACATTTTTCTAATAAAAATGTCCAGTTAGATGCATTAGTGTAGAGTGCACGCATATACAAAAGCACATGCTTCTTTGTTTTCCACTAGCCCAAAAATGAGGAAGTGGTCATACATTTAGGAGAAGTCCTTCCAGTACAACCAGTAAGATAGTGCTGAAGTAAAACAAACACATTTTATGTGCTTAGGATTCTGTTTTTCCCCTGGCATCATCGTGCCTAACACATCCATCACATGCAGGTATTGTAACTATGGGGATCCTCTTTTAATTGTTCAGTTAAGCGATTTTCATTTCTCAATACAGTCATGGAAATGGTAAACAATGCTTAGGATCACTCCTATTTTAAGACCCTACTGAGGGCCCAATCCAACTCCCAGGGGCAGCGGCAGCTAACACCCACCAAAATGGAAATACTGTGGGGTCTGAGCTACGTTTCCACCCTGGCCCCCACGTTTCATTCATAAACAAGTTGTTTCATGCACTCAGGCAGGGCGGGAGTGAGACTCAGAGGGGCTGGAGTGGCTGTAGCAGCATTCAAGATCAGGCCTAGGAGCCTCAGCTCCCCCCCAATTCCCTTGAGGGTGCC